AAAATGAGTCAGCCAATCAACAGCGTGTGTTGGATACTAATATTACATCATTCATTTTAGTTTAAAAACGAATTGACCAGCAGACACTTACAATTTTACTGTGGAAAGGCTAAAATTATAAGGGCTAGAGTAAGTATTAGCTATACTCCTTGGTTTTAGATTTTAGAAGCAATGAATCAATTTATCTTAAATGTGAAAAAAAATAATACTAGGAAGACTGGTCTATTTTAGTGTAGATGCAAAAAAAGAAAAACAGTATTCCTCTGTAAAAACAGATTGGTTTTCTTTAATTAATGTTTATGAGCCTATTAAAAAGATGAATATTTTAATATAAATTCTTTGGTTGTAATAAGTTTAATTACAAAGGCAAAACATGTTTATTAAAGAAAAATCAGGAAATATTGAAACTAAAGGAATAAAATAGTATTTATGATTTAGCTATTCATAGACAACCATGTTAACCTTGGTTTATATTTTTCCAAGCTATTTTCTTTTATTTCTTTGGTTACACCTTTCCAGACTTAAAAATATGTATTTGATTACATAAATTGTATTATGCTATAATAAATAATTATCCCCTAGCCTGCTTTAATCAAGCTATGCCAAGAACAGGTTTCTAAATATTAATCTACTTTAATCTGCTTTACTTTTCTAAACAAATGAATAACGTATCATAGTATGGAAATACCATAATTTGATCAACAAACTGAGGGACACTTACGTTGTTTGAAAGATGTCATCGTTTTAACTAATTTTTCCATAAATGCCTTTCTACACGACTTATTGAATACTTGTTAGATTTGTTCCTTAGAAACATCCCTAGCAGTAAAATTGCTAGTTTGAAGGCACATATATTTTGAATTTGATGTAGATTGCTAGATTCCTTTCCAGAGAACTTGTACCTATGTATTCTCTCACTGGCAATGAAACTTCCCCAGCACTGGGCATTAATAATCATAATAATTTTTGACAGATAGGTTAAAAGTATCAGATTGTTGTTTTAATTATTATCTTTCAATCATCTTTTAATTCCTGGCCATTTTCATTTATTTTATGAATTGTCTCTGTATGTCTTTTGATTTTTTAGAAACAATGTTCATCTTTTTAAATTGATAATTTGTACTTTATTAAAGATATGCTGCAAATGTTTTGCTCAATAATATATCTTTTGATTTTGTTTATGGTGCATTTTTTGAACAGAAGTTAAATTTTACAGGTCAAAACTTTTAATATTTTCCTGTATGATTTTTGGCTTTTTAGTCATGCTTAGACAGAACAGCCTCAACATAAAAATACTCTAATTTTAAAAATATGCTATTGGGTTTTTATACATAAAATTTTATTTTGGGGACAGGTATGGTGGTTCATGCTTATAATGCCAGCACTTTGGAAGTCCTAGGTAGAAGGATTGCTTGAACCCAGGAGTTTGAGAGCAGCCTGGTCAACAAACAGAGACTTATCTCTACAAAAATTTTAAAAGTTAGCCAGATGTGATAGTGTGTGCCTGCAGTCATAGCTACTCAGGAGGATGAAGTGGAAGGATTGCTTGAATCCAGCAGTTCAAAGTTGCAGTGAGCATGAGCATGCCACTGCACTTGAGCCTGGGCAACAGAGCAAGACTCTGTCTCTAACAATGACAACAACAATAGCAATAAAAGTTACTTCCTCTGTAGTTTATTTTTTGTATGTTATGGTGTGTGGCAGGATTTCTTCTTTCCAAAATGGAGGGTTATTATCCCAATTATATTTATTTTATAATTCAATCTTTCTTATTTATTTCAAATTATCTTTTAATACTCTGAATTTTTTATTCTCTTCCATTAATATGTATGTTTGAAACAGGATAAAGGAATATTTGATAGTTTAGTCTCTCATGAGAATGATTCTACTGTTTCATTGCATCTGGGACCCCTTATGGACAGAACTCACTCTATGACCATTGCTGCCAGCTCTCGAGCTTGCTTTTGGTTTTATTACACCTCCATTTAATGCCTATGACCTGAGAAATCTCCTTAATTTATCTGATCTTTGATTTTTGCAGTAGTAGAATAAGAATCCTAATAGATAATGATAGAACCACCTCAATTAGATTGTTGTGTCTGGCATGTTAGCTACCACTATTATTAGAATCTTGAGTTTTCCAATGGATTCATTTCCCACCCAGCAGTCAGAAAAGCTCGACAGTGGTCACTTTCTGGACTGTCTTCAGAACCCATGGTCAGCAATAAATGTGGAGCTCTTGCTCGCTCTCTGTCTCTGCTCTTTGTCTTCTCACAAAGACCCATAACCTATTTCATGGGAGAGTTAATAATTAATGGCATGAATTTTCTTGCATAACATATGTTTCATGCTCTTGATATACATTATGATCTCTACTTCACAACTAAAAACCAAAACCAAAACAACCAAAAAATAAAAATAAAACAAACAACAATAAGAGCAAACACCAGAGGCTCTGAGTGATTATATAGCTAGCCCAAATTTACACATCCAGGAAGGATCCCAATCAGGATTCCAATTCAGGCTTTTGATTTTATGCAGTTCTTTAAATAGTCAAACTTTTCAAAATTTTATCTCTGGACACTTGGCCTTTTGTCCTACGATTTTAAAAGTCTCCGTTTAAATATTTTAAAAATGCAATTTCAGTTCTTTCACGTTCTAAACTTGAGCAACAGTGCAAGTTGGAAAGTATACCTTGATATCTTGTCCATCTTTGCAACAACTTGTTTCCTCTATCTTGTGTTCCTTATGTGATTTTCTATACTTTCTATTAGTCTCTGAAAACCTGGAAAGATATCAGCATCTCTTAACCACTTTCTCCTTCTTGGAAACATTTGCGGCAGTCAAGCCTTTCTCCACTTGTGGAAATCAAAATAAAACTACTTACAGAACAGAATGCTTGAAACTTCTCTGACTTTATTTCAACCTTGACATTCCTACTGTAGGGAATTCAACTAAAAGAAATTGTCAGATGTAAGGGTTATAGTCATTGTTGAAAAGGTGAAAATGTGGAGGCTTCTGTATTTGAACTAACTGAAATTTCCCACCAATTTTTCATTTTCGGAAACTTTTAAAGACATTTAAGTTCTGCTTTTCTTCAGTTTTCTTATCCACTGCCTTATTCTTTAGGTATCAGGTGTTTATAGTTTTCATACTAAATTGTAGTGTCAAAAAAATCATCAGATGAACACATGCGTGTTTAGAAGACCCAAAGTCCTGAAGTCATTTTTTAGAGTGTGCCCAGAGTGATATAGTGAAACATTATAATTCAGTGTTGTTGGTGAATTATGACCAAGGTCATGGAAAACACATTGCTTTTTCTAGTGGTTGCATGATTATCATGCCTGTGATGATAAATCTGCACCCACTGAAAATGCAGTTAACTTACCTTGGTGATTTTGATTTATTAGCCTTGCGATGGACAAGGTTGCCCATTTGTTAGTGCTTGTTTTATATTTGAATAGCTTGGAAGCATATAACTTTGAGGCATAGCTTAGAGTTGGTTTAGCTATTTCGTATTTCATAGAAAGCATCTGATCAGAGAACTTTGGTTTCTGATATTTCTATTGTGACACTGCATAGTTTTTAGTATAGTGAGGATACCTGATTTGTATTTTGGAGCATCTCTCTTCATGATCAAGGTTGAAGTTTCAGAGAACTGTCAGAACTATAACATAAACAGGAAAATTGCCACTGAATAATCAACTTCATTTGGGAGTAAAAGTTAGATGGCTTAAATAGAAGACATTGAAGGACTAGTGACTGACAAAATGTATTTTATTTAGTTTCTCTTTGAGCTTTTGTTCAGAATAGACATATGACCCTGAGGGCTTTTATTAAAAATGGTACTTAATATTAATTATTCAGAGGTATCTGCCAGTATTGGATTGGAATGGCATAAGAAGATTCTTGAATGAAAGTATGTGACTAGAATGAGAGCTTAATGAATGAGTATGGATTTTGAGTGCCAAAATGTAGAATAAATTCTAGGGTTAAATTGACCATTGAAAAAGTTGTTAGCCTTAGTTCTTTCATCTTCCTTATTACAACATGAAGCATAGCACATTAATACGATCTTTGTACTGTTAGTCCTTTTGCCAGGGTTTCTCAATCTTCACAATACTATTATTTTGGATCGGGTAATTCTTTGTTGTCTGGAGTTGTCCCGTGCATTGTAAGGGGTTTAGCATCATGGTTTAGCATCATCCCTGGCCTTTACCCATTATATGCCAGTAACACTATCCCCATTGCGGCAACCACAAATGTCTTTAGACATTGTCAAATGTCCCCAGGTGAGTAAAACCATCTCTGATTGAGGATCACTGCTTTATAGTGGTGATGCAAGAGAGAAGAGTGACCAAGAAGAAAGTGTCAATTTTGAAGATATCACAATGTGTGTATTAACATCAGATGCCAGTCACAGTATTTAGTTCATTTACTACCAAGCCCAGTTAAACTGAACTCTTATAAATTTAAACCCGTCAGAGATGGCTGCAAAGTAATTTCAGTTTTCTAGGTCTAATACTTTATAACATTTGTTAGTTTTGCATTCAATGTTGCATCAGATGCAACATTGATTACAAATGTCGCATCTGATGCAACATTGATTACATCAAGCCTTTTGATGTAATCTAATACTTGGTTTTATAAGCACTGCAGTTTTAATCATCCATGGACAACTGTGGCTTTATACTGTTATATAATGTTAAATATTTTAAGAAGTGATGAAAAATAAGGAATGCTTATCCTTCAGTCAACTTTTATTGGTTTTTTTAAATCTTACATGTTAAAAGTAGAGTCTTTCTCCTGTGAGGTATTTTTTTATTTTCTGTTGTCAGATTTGGTATTCTTCACGAAGGAGCTTAGTCTGGACCTATACTGTTTGGAATAGGGAGCTCCCCCTGACATAGGCAGGATGATAATAATAGCCAATTATCTAATACATCACAAAGAAATATTCTGATTCTAGAATTCTTTTGGTGCCGAAAGAAGACAGGCATATGTGAGAAGAAGCAATCAGAAGATTGGCAGGATTTCAGAATCTATTTGAAATATTCATTACCTATTTGGAATTGGTCTTAAAAATTTAAAACAATGTAAAGCTGAATAATTAAAGATAAAAAAATAAAGGAAGAATACAAGGTTTCTATGCTATGAAGCAACTGAGATTACTATGATTTTGGGGCAGTGAATTTGTTTCTAGAAGTTTTGTTGGAACTAAGGCAAAAAGGTAAGTAATTAAGCACTATCAGTTGGCTTAAGTAGTATTATCTGTTTCTTATAAAAGGCTTTCCACACTTTCTGCAAGACACATTTTTTTTCTCATGGAATTTGTCCAAAGAAATAAGTGTTCTTAGGATTTAGTAAAATTATGTTTATAATTTTTTTTTTTTGCTTAGATGATAAGATATATGGTTCACAATGTTTTTTGTTTTACAACCTATGAGTATATTTTCAATTAGCTCTCCTGTGCCTTCTAGGAAGAAAAGCAAATCACCTTGGAATGAAAAACTTTAAGGTGGAAGTTACTAATATACCACATTGTCTGTACACAACAATTCAGGCCCCTCGGTCTGTGTCTGATTTTAAGTAGCATTGCATCCTCATGCACCTTCAGTTATAAACTATACCCGCATGTAGCTTTGTGAGTTGGTTTTCTTATTTGGGCTACTTAAAATTTTCCTTTTAAAAGCTAAATGATTTTACCAAATTAAATACATTTAATGTTAATACTGAGCTTTATGACTATTGTCAACAGAGACCAACACTTATTTGAGAGGCCTCTTTTTTTTTTTTTTTTTTTTTTTTTTTTTTGAGACGGAGTCTCACTCTGTCGCCCAGGCTGGAGTGCAGTGGCGCGATCTCCGCTCACTGCAAGCTCCGCCTCCCGGGTTCACGCCATTCTCCTGCCTCAGCCTCCTGAGTAGCTGGGACTACAGGCGCCCGCTACCTCGCCCGGCTAGTTTTTTGTATTTTTTTTTAGTAGAGACGGGGTTTCACCGTGTTAGCCAGGATGGTCTCGATCTCCTGACCTCCTGATCCGCCCGTCTCGGCCTCCCAAAGTGCTGGGATTACAGGCTTGAGCCACCGCGCCCGGCCTGAGAGGCCTCTTACAAAGAGAAAATAAAATCATGCATTTTCAAAGAGTAGGATACTCTACTATTGCTTTATTTTTGTAAATCAACACCATTACTAAATCACTTTTACATATAGATTTTTAGAGTGCTCTTGAACACAGACATATTTAATCTCTTTAAAGACTGAATTGGAAGACTGAATGTGGCATAAGAAAAATCCTGGCTTTTAACTGTATGTGATTGATATTCCAGAGTGGTCATATACAGAATCGTCAGCATTATACATTTTTTATTCTTGATAGTCTCTGCCTATTGGGTCAAATGCTAATAATAGACCCAAGAGATGGGTCAGAGAAATTATTCAGAGAAATTAATTTTAACTGTTAATTAATCTTAACTGTCCCTAAGTGAGATGGAACAGAGGTGAATAGTGGCTTTAGAATAGCTGTTCTGGATACCTGATTGATATTTGTCATTTGTTATGAAAAAATCTGTTATGGAGTTCTAAAAAATACTAAAAATATTATCAGTCTATTTTTTGGAATGATTAAGTATAAAAATATCACCTTGCCCATCTTGAAGTAATTACCCTATATACTTAAGATAATTAGCTTGATAAAGACTGGGTTGTTCTTCCAGAACAGACTGTGAAAATATTTCTGGTGGTAAGAGATCATTTTCTAGAGCTGATTCCAATATAGTATGACTAGTTATATGTTTTCAAGGGGAGGAATTACAGGCTTCTAACATGATTTTTAATATGGAACTAGCAACATGAATTATCTTTTAGAGTGAAATTATTTCACCAGTATTTGTTGGAAATCTATACTGCAATATTTCCTCTTGGAAGGTCTTGACATTTTAAAACATAATTCTCTGTATTTTAGAAGTTTAGGTAGTGTGCAAAAGGTTTTATTGCAATGAATGTTAAAGAACTCAGGACCTAGGCTCCATCTGATTTTCTGTATCTTAACCATATCCAGGAAGTCTCCTGTTTACTTTTAGAATTGTAAAGGAATTCAGAAGATTCGTTTCAACTGCTTCCTACCATTCAGATACTTTCTTCATGAAGCCCTGGATTACAGCATGCTCATAATGAATTGCAGTTGTTCAATTATTGGGAGGTTTGTAATGAAGCTTTGGAGTCTAAATGGGTCAGAGCAGGTTTTGCACTTTATCAGCTTGTGAGAAAATCCAAGTGGCACTCTGTGCTAAAGACTGTGGAGTAATAATTTTGGCACCTCTTGGTCTCTGTTTTTCTAAAGAGAGGAGGATATTATTGAGGACTAGCCAATAAATGAATTCTTTAAAGGTATTCCTTATTTGGAGATGAATCAGTTTGTTTTAGCTCAATATAAAAATGCTTAGATTGAAACAAGATTCTAATAACTTAAGTGACTAAAGTGGAGTAGGGGAAGACATATAGGTATCTAAGTACTTCTCAGATAGCTTTTATCCGGTCTCCTTATTTTAGGTTTCTATCTGCCTACCCATTTTTAATTCCCAGTTTTAGAGAAGTTGGTACTGCTAGTTGCTGAGCATTTGGGGGTATCTGTTGTGTAACTAGTTAATTCTTGGCTTTTCCTATCACTCACTTAAGATTGAGCTGTCTTGGGTGTAGTACTTCAATTACTATTTGTCCACCTGCTTCTCAGCTTTAAAAATGTCATTGCCATTGTCTCCTGTCCTGTTCTTCCCATTCTTGTGGGTCATGTGTTTTAAAAAAATTTGAATTAGATACATTTGTTCACACTATTCAAGATGTACCTTTGAATGGGAAAATGACAGCCTCTTTCAGATGATAGATCTGAAGCTAATAGTGCAGCAGGGTTTGGTGTAGAAAATGTACTTAGCTAGAAGGATTTATTTTTTGAGTGGAAAGAAAAAACTAATAAAAATTTTCTTGTTTGGGGAATATATACCGGGACTAAGAATGCTTTTCTTGTGTAATAACCCTTAATCCAGCCCCATCATATGAATTTTGAAAATTAAGATAAAATGTAATATTTTAATGCAATGAAAAAGTTCACCAAGGGCTAAATATAGCCTGACATTTCTGCGAAAAGATGCTCATTAACTCTGAGATATTAATGTAGTTGACTGATAACCAGGGTTAGGTTGTTGATTTTTAAAACTATTGCAACAGAGTAAAATGCTAGAGGCTTTTATCATGACCAGAGAGGTCTGCATTGTCACCTGGGTGTAGGGGAGGGCAAGATATACAATAAGCCAGAGCAGAGGATAAGCTTCAATATATGTCAGTGAAACTGAAGGCCGAGAATAGGTAGTTCCTTCTCTTTGCATTTTATGACTGGTATAAGGGCAGAAAAAAATATACTGTCAATCAAAGCAAAAAGGTAGTCCTAACTACATCAAACCTATTTTATTAACAATAATGATATAACATTGTAATTATGAATGTTATTACAAAATTTTCGATAATAGCTAAATTTTAAGAGAATACTCTGTAAATACTGTTTGAGGAATAGTGGATTTTACTATCCTCAAAGGTTAATGTGCGTGTGTGTGTGTGTGTGTGTGTGTGTGTGAGAGAGAGAGAGAGAGAGAGAGAAAGAGATCTAGAAGGTAGGATGGATGAAATGAAAGGAAGAACTTTAGTATGAGGTTTCTTTTCCAGTATATTGTTATTTGCATCTTTGCAATATACAGAGCTGTATCATGTATTTCTGGTGCTCATTCCCATCCTCCAATTAAAAGTTAACAAACATGTAACTAATCTAAAAAAGGGTCGCTTCCACAACAAAGGATTTGCCCTTTGTCATAGTGATATTTGGTGTTTAAGGATGACTCTTAGGAATTTGGCTCCAAATTAAAAGAAGCATTTGTATTTCTCAGTTCACCCAAAGGAGTAATAAACCATACTTTGACTTCTGAAGTCTGTTTCAAAGACAAATGCCTTCCTTTGAGAGTACTTTGCTGCTCACTTATAAAACTGGAAAAGGACATTTCAGTCAATGCTTTATTCTCCTAGTTAGGAATGGAGGCTGGCCATGTGGCCGCCAACATGGGTAATTTAAGGAACCCTTAGAAGGCCCTTCTATCAAAACATATCTCCCTGAATGAAGCCTATATATTTCTCTTTACTTTTTTGAACTGTTTGAAATTCTGCCTGTTACAGAGTCACTCAGATTAGAGTGTCCTCTTTTAGAAGAAAAATATCCCAGGGAGGGTTAAGTAGTCTATTAATCAATTATTCACAGTCCAGTGTGGCTTAGTTTAATTAAATTGCTTTTTTCTAGTTATGTACATTTTGATAGAGCCCAGGAAGAGAGAAAAGGGAAGTAATTTAGTCCTCGGGATTTTTCAGCATAAGGCAAGCCTGAACTGAGAGCACTGAAGTGGGCTCACTATTGTCATGCAAAAGACAGAATGAGGGCCCTGGATATCTGCGAGTGGGGCAGAGGAGACACAGGAGCTAAGAGAGGAAAAGAGAAAGAGAAGCAGGGAAATGCCAAAGATAAACTTTGACATATTGTGGACTAGTCCTTTCTCTATCATAAAAGCTTTCACATTAATATTGTTGGGTGCTATGCTGAAATGGTTTTGTATTTCTTTTTTGAATTTGTTTTTTGTTTTAATATATATCTTGATATTTTGGGAAAGAGAATGTAGATGAGCTGTGTTAGAATGATGCCATGAACATATAGTTCTATATATATGTTATTCATTAAACAATGAATAATCATGGTTATGGATTAGTTATTAACCAAAACAAGGAGAAGAACTCAGAATTATTCAGTAAAATAATTTGGAAACTCTGTTGATGGAAAGAAATCACCAGATTTCTATCAAAGATGAATTTTTTTCATGTGCTTTTGGTACATGGCAGGGATAATGCAATGTAGTTGTGTCTTTGGTAGACTTGAAAGATATTTCAGTTCAAGCAGGTGCCTTTTTTTAAGGCTTGCTCTAAATTGTAAATACTTTGAAATATAATATACTTATTTTAGAAATTTTTAGGCTTGTTCTTCTTATAGAACAGTATCTATGAGTAGAAAAGCAAGCTAAGAAATCAAACCAATCTTGGTTAATCACACCAATGGGAAACTGACAGCTATAGCAGGATTCAGGCACCACCTACCACTTCGAGTGTTTAATTTGCAGATGTATTACATAGGAGGAATGAAATATCATTCATACAAACTTGGCAAAATCACATCTGGTGGGTTGTATGAATTCAAATATAATAGCTAGGGTGATCACATGACTTATCACCCATTCCAAATCCAGACATTTTTGAAAGTGAAAGGTGGTGTTCAAAATAATTAAAATTATATGTTTTTGGCCGGGCACAGTGGCTCACACCTGTAATCCCAGCAATTTGGGAGGCTGAGGTGGGCGGATCACAAGGTTAGGGGTTCAAGATCAGCCTGACCAACATGGTGAAACCCCATCTCTACTAAAAAAATACAAAAATTAG